TTAGCTCAAGGTAGAGCTCAAAATTCATTAACTTACCAAGCTTCAACATCAAACCATTCTCCAAATGCTCCGATAAAAAAACAAAGAGAAAATGAGAGTACACAGAATAGAATGGATGTAAATTTTCAGCAAACAGCCTCGGAGCCAGAAAATACTACCCTTATGTTAGAGTAATCATAAAGGGTAGAATTCTTAAAGCCTTGGTTGACATGGGTTCATCCATTAATATAATGAGTGAAAACTTTGGGAACCTCGAAGTCAACGATGAAAATTTAAAAGTTTATACTATAAACGGATCGATAGAATAAGGTAAAAGCGTTATGATAAAACCAAGTAAAGTTTGCCCAGTAGAACAGAAATTCTATTTACATAAATTTTCAGACAATTATGATGTTCTAATGGGAAGGGATTATCTTAAAGGTTGTAAAGCTTAGATTAATTTTGAAGATGGAACAGTAACTTTAGGTGAATATAAATTAACAGTCATGTATGGTGACGATGATAAAAAGGATAAGACCGCAATAAAATGCCTTAATCCTATATCATCAGGAAAGAAAGGTGAAAAGGATAAGACCGCCGTAAAACGCCTTAATCTGAAATCACCAAAGAAGGAAAAGATGGAAGAGGATGAGACCGCAGTAAAATGCCTCAACCCACCCTTATCTGAGGATCAATCTTTTACTTTCGCCATTAAAAACTAACTTCGGGAATGCAATGAATTTAGATTAGAGCATTTAAACGAAGAGGGAAAAGAATGTTTGAAAAAAGTCTTATTTGAATATAATGACATTCAGTACAAAGGTAAAAATTTGACTTTCACAAGTACGATCAAACATTCTATCCAAATCAAACATGAGGACCCTATTTATAAGAAACCGTATAAGTACCCTCAATCATTCGATGACGAAGTCAATAAACAAATGAACGAAATGATAGAACAGGGAATAATTCGTAAATCGAAATCTCCTTACTGTTCACCCATCTGGATGGTTCCTAAGAAAGCTGACGCTTCAGGGAAACCTAAATTCAGAGTAGTAAAAGACTACAGAAGTTTAAATGAAATAACAATTAATGACAAATTCCCAATACCCAGAATGGATGAAAAATTAGATAAATTGGGAAGATTCAATATTTCACTACAATTGATTTAGCTAAAGGATTCCATCAAATTCAAATGGACCCTGAATCAATTGCCAAAACAGCATTCTCCACAAAGAATGGTCATTACGAATATACACGTATGCCATTCGGACTTAAAAACGCGCCGCCACCTTCCAAAGACGTATGAACAATTTACTAGTAGACTTAATTTATAGAGACTGTTTAGTTTACTTAGATGATATAATAATTTTTTTTACTTTATTGGGAGAACATATTTTATCATTGGGACAAGTATTTGGAAGACTTCGAGTTGCAAATTTAAAATTACAATTAAAATAGATAAATGCGAAATTATGAGAAAAGAAACAGAATTTGTAGGTCATGTAGTCACCACAACAGGCATAAAACCAAATACCAAAAAGATTAGTGCAATTATAAATTTTCCTATAGTCACCACCCACTCATTTTTAGGACTATGTGGATTCTATAGGAAATTTATACCAAACTTTGCAAACGTAGTTAATGAAATTAAAAAAAAGGTGCCACAATAAACATTAAAGAGAAATCATACAATGATGCATTTGAAAAAATGAACGTTTTAATCACCTCTGACCCCATATTAATTTATCCCGACTTTGATAAAACATTTTCTTAAACTACAGATGCTAGCAACATAGCTATAGGAGCAGTTCTATCACAAAACCATAAACCAATATGTTATGCTAGCCGAACATTAAATGAACATGAAATGAATTATTCAACAAAAGAAAAGGAACTTTTAGCAATTGTATGGGCCACGAAATATTTCAGATCATATCTTTACGGCAGACCTTTTGAGATCTTAAGTGATCATAAACCTTTAGTTTGGTTAAACAATATCAAGGAACCAAATATGAAACTACAAAGATGGAAGATTAAATTAAATGAATTCGATTATCAGATAAAATATTTACCAGGAAAAGAAATTATGTTGCCGACGCACTATCAAGGGTTAAAATAGAAGAAAATATGTTCGAAGACATCCCCGAATTTATTAGGAGAACTGCAAATAGCATAGATGCAACGGTGCATAGCACAAATGAAGATAATCAGAATAACATTGCAATCACAGAAAGACCAATCAAAAATTATTGTCGACAGATCGAATTTATTAAGGGAAATGAAGAAATTAGAGATGTACAACATTATTTTCATTACCTAAAAATCAAAATAACTTACATAAACCTGTCAAACACCTTCGCAAAAGATATCATCAAGGAATATTTGTGCACAAAAAAGAGTGCATTTTACTTTCATGATGATTCAGATTTTCTCATATTCCAACAAGCATATCTAGAAATAATCAATCCAAATCATTTAACAAAAGTAGTAAGATGCAACAAAAAGTTAGAAGATATCCTCACTTATGCAGAATTCAAAGAAAAAACTTAAAAAGACATAAAGACTTATTACATCCGGGAATTGAAAAAACAGCTAATTGGTTTAGAGACGAATATTATTTCTCTGACTATCAAAAATTAATACACAACATAATCAGCGAATGTGAAATCTGTAACATCGAAAAAACAGAACATAGGAACACGAATTTATCTTTCGAAACTACACCAGAAATACAAAATATAAGAGAAAATTTTGTCATAGGTTTCTATATAATAGGAAACCAACCACTCTCATAGAAGTCACAAGTAAGGATTGGTTAGAAGCTAAAAGAGCTATAATAAGGGTATTTATTGAAATGGGAAAACCACAAGAAATTAAGGCAGATAAAGATACACAATTGGTTAAATTCAGAAGGTGTAGAAATTCAAGTAACGACGAGCAAAAACGGTATATCTGATATAGAAAGGTTCCATAAAACAGTAAACGAAAAATTAAGAATAATAGGAAACGAAACAGACATAGAAAACAGGTATACTAAGTTCGAATAAATTCTTTACATTTACAATCACAAAACTAAACATAATGCGACGAATAGAATACCAGCTGACATATTCATGTATGGAGGAAGTCCGGAATATAATACACAAGAAAGAAAAACGAAAAAAATAGACAGGCTAAATGAGAAACGACATGATTTTGAAATATACACAAGATTTAGACAATCACCATTAGTAAAATCGAAAACTACAAACCCATTTAAAAAAACAGGAAATATGAGGAAAATAGACGATAAACATTTTGAAGAAACTAATAGAGGTAGAAAGATAACTCATTATAAATCAAAGTTTAAAAAGAAAAAGAAATTTAATAAAAGTAAATACGAAAATTCCAGGGAAGCAGAAGGAACCCAAAGAGCACAACAATCTGTTTAAAATTATCACTCTGTCGATAATTTAATTGACTATAACTAAAATGGCAATGGGACAAAACATTGAGATAAATCCGATTAAAGCCCAAAATGGATACCTTGTATTCAAAACCGGGTCAATAGATATTCCAAACAATTTTGAATATCAATTTTTAAGCATAAACGTAACCAAAACTGAGCAAATATTTGAAAGTCTTTTAAAAGAAGCAAATGAATTTAATGACATTATACAAATTCGTTATTTAGCAGAAAAACTCAAAAGATAAATAAATGGAATTAAACTAGACAAACGTAACAAACGAGCATTATTTAATATTATTGGCACAACATACAAATATTTATTCGGAACATTAGATCAAGATGACAAGGACTAATTAGAGCAGAAAATAAGTAACCTATCAGAAAAAAGCATACAAAACACAGATTTAAATATGAATATTGATGTAATAAATAATAGGGAGCAACAAGCTAGCGTTACAACATTTTACGGCATACGTAGAGGATATTGAGTTGGGAATGCAGTTGGCGAGTCTTGGTATATTTAATCCAAAATTATTAAAACATGATGATTTAATAAGAATAAGTTCTGAGAAATTGTTGAAAATTAATACATCCACTTGGCTAAAAACAGATACAAATGAAATTTTGATAATTTCCCACATTCCTACAGAAATCGTTAAAGCACCAATTTTTGAAATAATTCCGTATCCAGATGATAATAATACCATTCTAACAGAAAATATATTTGATAAGTATTACCATCATGAAGAAAAAGTATTTAATAAAGAAACAGGAATAGTAGTATTAGATGAATGTATAAATGGAACAATCAAACAAGAATCCACAAGCTGTAAATATACCAAAACACATAAAAATTACCTAATTAATTATGTTAAACCAAATATTTTATTGACATGGAATATCCCTAAAACATTTTTAAATTAAAATTGCATTAATAAAGAAATTTTTTTTTTATTAAAATTCTTAATTGTTAAGTACAGCTCGATGAATTCATACTTTCAAATACCAATTTAGAATATACACAAAGCATTTATATAAACAATAATGTAACAAAATTAGAACCGCTGTCATATATCCAAACAAAAGAAATTATAAAAGCACATACAAAATATAATAATGTATTTCAAATAATAGCAGCAACTACTTTTGTAATTACAATCATAAGCATATTATTGTATCTATTCTATAAGTTTAAGAACATACCAAGAAAATGAATTGTAAAATATGTATTGTATTTTGTTATATCCAAACTTATCGCCCTGAGGACAGGCCAAATTCAAAGGTTGGGGGAGTGACATATCCATACCACCATGAATCCCTATGTACATGTCTACACACCCACACTACACATTAAAGCACCCTCAATGAAACTCGAATACATATCTTATTGTAAACAAAGACACCCTCAAAGAAACTCGAATTCATATCTTATGTAACGACCTTGTTTTAGGAGGCGGTATAGCTCCTCGTGGCCAGGGTTCGAGACAGAAATTTATTTCCTCTTTTGATCGGCTTACCTCCCTTTCCCCAAAGAATAACACAAATCGAACTCTACAGAGTATGGTTATATTTTAATAGTACGATTGATTAAGACTACGTTTTCTAACTATAATTATATCGAGCGTGATACTGCTTGATAAGTGGCGTCGGCGTTGTTGAAGGGCCGAATGTGGTACTGCTTGTTGATATCGACGCTGCGGAAGGTCCGAGTATATCGCGGCTCGTTGAGTATCGCACTGCTTTGTGTGCGGAATCGGCGCCCCGGAAGGGCCGTATATTGCACTTCTTGCTGTTGACGCTGCGCAATGGTTCAAGGAACTGCTTGGTGTTGCCGATGTGTGATGACTGAGTACACTGCTTGTTCTCGACGTTGGGCGGTAGCGGGGTGCTCTGCTTGGTGTCGGCGCTTCGGAAGGGAGGAACTCACTGAGATGGGCCGGAGTTACGACAACCGTGCCGGGCTCAGCGATCTCGACCGGGCCTGGGTGTGTATTCCTAAACCACACCGGGCGTCAGTGATCCTCACCAGGTCGTAAAGCCGAATTCAAACCGAACTCTTACGGATCCAACACTACTACCAAGACTAACTACCAGTACACTTACCCGGGCATTCCTCCTAGTTGTTGTTTCCTCGAGAGTCGTCGGAACGCAAGTGACTGGTCTGGGGCTGTGTCTCCGCTTATATAGGCGCTGCTTAGTGTGATCAGCTCGGACGATGATGATAATCCCGCTTTGGGTAATCGAACTTATTGGGCGATGATTATCGGCAATTGATAACTTCGTCGAATAAGTGTGACCGGTGGCTGTTGGCTTTGGGCGCGCGTTTGAATATTTGGCCGGCCAGTATTTGGAATGTTCTTTTAAGCTTTAATGTGACAGTTGAATTTTGCGTTTTTGTGATGGTGGATCGTCACACTTATTGTAAACAAAGACACCCTCAAAGAATTTTAATCCATATCTAATTGTCAACACACTAACGGAAAATTCCAATGTTATTAAAAAGTCCAAACTATAGACTAAACAAACGAGCCGCTGCCAAGACTTTAGGCACGTTCCCACAATTAAGGATACTCAGATTTCGGGACCCAAGTCGTAAACTAGATCGGAACAAAGAACTGTTTTGGTCCAAAGTACAAATCTGAAAGCCACTCAATAAACATTAAATTTACTCATTAAAAAGCTCCAAAGTTCAGAACCGAGGTTTGATCGTAAGATAATTAGGAGTTAGCGATTGAGTTCAGTTTGAGACCCAAAACAATTAGGACGTGTTCTTCCAAATAATAATTGTACTAGTTGATAAATAAAATTAAATAAAGATTTTTTTTTTATGTAAAACTTATTGTACGAATATTTAATTATATATATATATAATTAAATGTTTGCAACTCCGTTTAAATAAAAAAATATAATTTTATTTTATTCAACTTGTGGTTTACAGAGTTTTAAACTTATTAGTGAAGAACACCGACCGATTACTTTGAGGTCTCAAACTGAACTTAACTTGCTGATCTGATTCTGTTGATGATCAAGCCTCGGTCTCGAGCTTTTCGGGATTTGAGTGAGTTGTGAAATTGTTCTGAGAACTTTCAGTTTCTTTTGAGTGAAACTTTAATTACTCTTGGATTCAAGTGTCTTGACTCTTGGATACAAGTGGGCTCTTAGATTTTACGACTTTGAAATGTCTTTGGATTGAAATAGGAGTTTATGTGTTTTTGAAATAGGAGTTTATGTGTCTGCGAGCCGAACTTTGATTATCTTTGAACGTGTGAACGTGACAATTGGGGTGAGTTGTTTAGTCTACATTTTTAGGTGATAACATATTTGGGGACTTTCCATTGGCCTTCGATTTTGGGCTCTTGTTACAAGGGTGAATAATTCTAGGGTAGTGTAGGGTATATTGTAGATACATAAAGTAATGGGTAAATTCAGGGTGTTATGGGACTGTGTATGTGTTGCTTAAATATATGCAGAGTCTCATAAGAATATGGACATGTCACTCCCCCAACCTTTGAATTTGGCCTGTCCTCAGGGCGATAACGTAGGGTATAACATAATATTTTCTGCTACAATATTTTCCTCAGTAGTTTTTACATTCTTATTTTCTATGATTGGTTGTTCTTCACGTTTAGAATATTTTACAATAAGTTTCTTAGGAATATTTTTAAATTTGTAAATTAAATATAATGTCAAACTTATTATAGTTATTACAAATGTGGTTAAATATTTTATCTGAAATTTCTTTATTTATTTCTTTTATTTCTTTAGTTTGGATATATGACAATGGTTCGATTTTTGTGATATTGTTGTTAACATAAATTGATTGTGTATAATCTGCTATATTGTTGGATATTATGAACTCATCTAACTGTATAGTATAATTTTTTATTTTAACAATATTATTACCAACGATCGAAACTTCTGTGCTTATACAATTTTGATTTATAGTTGATTTTTGTATTTTCCATGTTAACAAAATATTTGGTTCGATTTATTTGGAAATTTTTATGAGTTTTTACATATTTGCATTTTGTCGGTTCTTGTTTTAGGATTCAAATTATGTCGAAAACAATTTGACCTGTGTTTTCATTGAATACTTTATCTTCATAAATGTAATATTTATCAAATGTGTTTTCTGTTAAGATATTATCAAATTCATCTGGATATGGAATTATTTCATATACAGGAGTTTTCGTTATTTCATTAGGAATTTGGGAAATTATCAGGATTTCGTTCGTGTCTGTTTTGAGCCAAGTTGATGTTTTTACTTTTAACAACTTTTCTGAATTAACCTGTTTTAAATAATCGTGTTTTAATAATTTTGGGTTAAATATACCTAACCTAGTTAGTTGCATTCCTAATTCTATGTCTTCTATGTATTCTGCGAATTGCTGGAGATTAAAAATCAGAACTGCAGCTTGTTCTTGCTTATTTTTAGATTCTTCAAATTTGTTTATTAGGTCAAGTCCGTTATTAACAACGTCAATAATCATATTTAAATCATGATTTTGGATGGAATTATCTGCTAGATTATTAATTTTCATTTCGAGTTATTCCTTATCGTCTTCATCTAGTGTGTCAAACAAATATTTATAGACTGAACCTACCACGTTTAAAAGCCCGCGTTTACTTCTTTTGACTATTCTTAACCCATTCATTTCTCTTTTTAATTTTTAAACTAAATATTGGATTTGGACAATGTGTTGGAATTCTTTGGCTTCGTCCAGTAGGTTGTCGAATGTCATTTCGGTCTTTGTTAAATTTATACTTAAATGGTGGTATTCAAAATTCGTTGGGATTTCCATTGATCCGGTTTTAAATATCAGATATCCGTTTTGTGCGTTTATTGGACTTATTTCGATACTTTGTGCCTTGGTTGTACTTATAAGCGAGATTAATATCAGGGATAATATAGGGATGACTTGGTTATGTTTCATCTTCCTCTGTTTGTCTGGAATTATCATATTTGCTCTTGTTAATCTTCTTTTGTTTGTTTGAATTTTGACTTATAATGTGTGATTTTCCTGCCTCTATTTGTTTCTTCAAAGTGTTTGTTGTCAACCTGTCTTATTAAACCTTTTTTCTTGAAAGGTAATCTTAGTTTTAACTAATGTTGCTTGTCTATATTTCGTATTAACTTTAAAATCATGTCTATTTTCATTTAGCCTGTCTATTTTATTGATTTTATTTTGTTGAGTGTTAATATCTGGTGTTCCTGCGTATAAGAAAATATCTGCGGGAGTTCTATTAGTTGTGTTGTGTTTTGTTTTATGATTGTACACGTATAAGATTACTTCGAATTTTGTACACCGGTCCTCTAAATTGTTTTCGTTACTAATGATTCTTAATTTTTCATTTACTGTCTTATGACACCTTTCTATATCAGATACACCATTTTTGCTGGTTGTTACTGATATATCTACTCCTTCAGATTTTAACCAGTTTTGCAAAGCTATACACATAAAAGCTGAGTCTTTGTCTGCTTTGATTTCTTGTGGCTTTCCCATATCGTTAAATACCTTCATTATGGCCCTTTTTGCTTCTAGCCAATCTCTACTTTTCACTTCAATTAAAGTAGCGAATTTCGAATAAATGTCGATACAAGATAAAAATTGTTGGTTACCGACCATATATAAATCAATTACATATCTTTCTCTTGCGTTAAGTATTTCTGGAGTTATTTCAAATGATAGTTTTGTACTTCTGTGTTTTGTTTTTGCAATGTTGCAGATTTCACATTCATTAATTATATTTTGTATTAACTTTTGGCTATCTGGATAGTAATGTTCTTCTTTAAACCAGTTGACAGTTTTTTCGATTCCTGGGTGTAGAAGTTCTTTATGCATTTTTAATATTATATTTTTTAATTCGGCATAAGTTAGAATATCTTTTAATATAAGCGTGCATTTTACTAGTTTCGTTAAATTGTTGGGACTTATTATTTGTACGTATGCCCTTTGGAATGTTAAGAAATCATCATCATTATGGAAATAAATTGCGCTTTTCTTAGTGCATACATATTCTTTAATGATGTTTTTAGCAAAGTCATCTGTCATTTCTTTGTAAGTTATTTTGATTTTTAATTTGTGAAAATAATGTTTTACCTCAGTTTCATCGTTATCTCCTTTCTCTATTTCTATTTGTCTAGAGAAATAATTGAATGGTCGTTCGGTGATGGATATATAATTAAGATTATCTTCAGAAGCGCTATGTATAGTTGCATCTACACTATTGGCAACTTCGCCAAGCATTAGTTCTTCTATTTTTGTACGCGATAATGCATCTGCTACATAATTTTCTTTTCCGGGAAGATACTTAATCTTATAATCAAATTCGTTTAATTTAATTTTCCATCTTTGGAGTTTCATATTTGGTTCTTTAATATTATTAAGTCAGACAAGGGGTTTATGATCACTAAGTATTTCAAAAGATCTCCCAAATAAGTATGATCTGAAATATTTTGTCACCCAAACTATAGCTAGAAGTTCTTTCTCTATAGTGGCATAGTTTATTTCATGCTCATTCAATGTCCTACTAGCATAACAGACGGGTTTATGATTTTGAGATAAGACTGCACCGATGGCAATATTACTAGCATCAGTAGTTAAGGAAAAAGATTTACTAAAATCAGGGTAGATTAAAATCGGATCTGATGTAATAAGTACTTTTAACTTTTCAAATGCTGCTATGTAATCTTTATCTTCTGTGTCTATTGTTGCTCCTTTTTTTAATTTAATGTTCATGGGTTTAACTATGTTAGCGAAGTTTATAATGAACTTGCGATAGAATCCACATAATCCTAAAAATGATTTAATTTGTTTTGGAGTCTTTGGTAGTGGGAAATTTGTGATAGCATTAGTTTTTATTTGGATTGGGTTTGATACCATTAGTAGTTACAACATGACCTAGGAATTCTGTTTCTTTTTTCATGAATTCACATTTATCCAATTGTAATTTTAAGTTTGCATTCCTGAGTTTTCCAAAAACTTTCTTTAGAGATAAGATGTGTTCTTCCAATGAAGTGGAAAAAATTATTATATCGTCTAAATAAACTAAACAATCTTTGTAGATTAAATCTTCCAAAAGGTTGTTCATACATCTTTGAAAAGTTGCGGGGGTATTCTTAATGCCGAATGGCATTGGAGTGTACTCGTAATGACCATGTTTCGTAGAAAATGCAGTTTTTGCGATTGATT